CATATGTATGGCGGGGTGTGTGTGTGGGACTCATCACACACACACACTCTGTCACTCCCTCACTGCTCTCTTTGTCTCTGTCTGTCCTTCCCCCCAGTCATTGCACAGATGTGCATGCATGTACATGCACACCCCCTTCCTGTTCCTGGGCCTGGAGTACTGGCATGAGCCCTGTGCTTCTGCGGTCCGGTTCAACAATGCAGCTGGGAGCCACGTGGTGTTGGAGTGGTGGGTGGACAGAAAAGCAGGGAAATGTCAGCTACAGGCAGGGGGGAGTGGTGGTGAGCAGGCGTGCAGGAGCGCAGTGACAGCTACATGAGAGCACAGTGCCTGTGCTGGTGTCCTGAGGCGAGCACTGGCAGGGCCCAGAGCAGGTTGGCAGGGGTATGGGGCCTGGGCTGGCAGGGGCTCTATGGAGCTGACCTGGATTCTCCCTCTCCTTGCTGGCACAGCCCAGTGTGGCTCCATAGAACCCTGCCAGCCCGGGCGCCATGCTCCTGCCACCCCGCCCTGGGCCCCCAATGGTGCTGGCCCTGGGACACCAGTGCAGGCCCTGAGCTCCTTCCCAGCTGTCATTATGCTTCTGTGCGCCCGTTCGCTGCTATGCCTCCCCACCTGCTGCTTCTTTCACCGCTTTCCTGCCCACTGCCACGGTGCTCCAGTACCATGTGGTTCCTGGCCGCAGGGCCGCGACCACAGGACTCGGCAGAGCTGGCCTGGCCAGCCCCTGGGGCTATTGCCTGTGGTCCTCCCCTGCTGCCCCACCCCCGTCTTATCTGCATTTCCCTCTCTGGTGGAAAGAGATGGAAACAGCTTCGTGGTCCCAAGCCAGAAGCTTCTGCTAGGCAGTCTTCTGATTGTGGGGAGCTGGAAGTGGGGGTGGGGCAGGGCTAAGGGGGCCTTGCTGCTGGGTCTGGCTGTCAGCTTCCCTTGGGTCCTACTGCCCCTGGCTTCTATCATCTTTGACAGGCAGCCAGGAGCAGATGCATATTAATTGTCTACCTTTTTTAGGGGCCCCGCGGGCCGGATGCAGCCCATGGGCCGTTTTTTGCCCACCTCTGCTCTAAGCCCGCTGGGCGATGAAGGACGGATAAAGAAATGTGGGCTGGCATCAGGGGCTGGGCTGAGCAGGAGGTCTGAATTTGCAGATCTCCAGCTTTTGCATCTGAGATGCAGGATTCTGCTTCTCTCTCTCGCCTTGGGATTTTACAAACTACAGGGCATACATTTATGGTATTCTGAAGTGTTTTATCACTCCATTATTGGAGGTACTAAATAAACATGCATTAGAAAAGGTGCATTAATGCAAGTGTGGACATGCGTGGTACCAAGTCAGAAATCATAAGTCCCACTAAAAGTCACTGGGCCTGTGCTCATAACTCCCTTGGGTATTTGCTCTGAATCATCCCTTTCATCTGTAAAAAGACACTTCCATTTCCTTGACTGCCTGAAATAGCCTGGGATTCCAGAATGTGATCACCATAGAGGCATTGAGGAAAGCATACCCCTTGCTGGACATGGTAGATCAAAGCCGTAGGCCAAAGGAGCTGGTAAGTATCAGTTAGCTGTGAGAGAGGGTGATCTGGGGTGGTAACACTGACATGTTACATTACACTTTTGGGTAAAATAGCTGCGAGCTAGCCTTCCTGTACCATTCAAGGGGAACTTATGCTGGGGAAGATGGAGATTGCGACCAAGTGTTCTGGCAGCTGGCACCCCTGTGCTATTCTCTATTGTGAATGCTGCTGGAAGAGCCTAGAGCTACAGTAGCTTTCAACCTCTTCTTTCCTCCAATCTCATGTGCATTTCTTCACTATGCCTTACAGTAACTCCAGCTGGGATTTAACAGTAACTAGCAATTTTGTGCTCTGAGGCCTGATTTTCAGCAAGTCTTGTGCATGTATCTAAGGAAAAATAAGAACACTCCTTGCTTGGAAAGCCTTGGCCTGCCCCTTTATTAACCCTTCATGTCAATCCAGAAGGAAGCAGTTTGTCAAAAGGATTAGTTTTAGATTACTAATCTAGCCCTCCTTGTTTTCTGGCAGCCTCCTACAACTACAGACTTCCCTACCATAGAAGGTAAGTGAGTCTTCATTTGTGTGGGGGTTGCTATTTCTGTTCATTGTGTAGGCAATCCAGCTGGGACAGCCTCTTAGTACTGGAATACCAAGGCAGCTCATTTGGACAAGATGGTATACCACGTTTGTGTCTCACTTTCTGAAAGTAATATGTGGTGATGGAGAGCATGTTTTTGCTGTTTGTTCAGTAGCTGGGCAACTAGTATTTTCCACATCTCTTCCAAACATCCCAGGGGTGGTTCTGTTTGGGGAGCCAGTCCGATGGGAGACGAACTTGCAGCTGATTATTGATGTCCTCCTGAGCAATGGGAACCCTGGGGCAGAACTGAGTGCCGTGCCATACCCCCATATACCTGTCCTTGCCTGTAACATGGACCTCCTGTGGATGGCAGAAGCCAAGATGCCAAGGTGAAAAGCATATTTTGTTCGAGTCATTTTAGCCTACCATGTGTGGCTCTCCTGTTAGTAGTCTTTCTTTGGGACCTGACCTACATCTTTTCCAATATGACTAGAAGGCCTTTTCCTTGGTTTTGGCAATACCGAGATGTAGGATAGCTGAGTGGATAGCACCGTCACTGGGACAGGCCTTGAAATTACTTTAGAAGCTGACAAATACAAAGTCTTGTTCTGGTGTCTCAATATGCATATATCCTCTGGTGCTGCTGCTAAGTCAATCATGGTCATGCATATTCCATAACAAAATTTTTATGCCATGTGATGGAGGGTAGAGTAATGGAAATGATGATTTCTTCTTGGGCAGGTTTGGCCATGGCACATTTCTTTTGTGCCTGGAGAACATCTACAGGAAAGTGACTGGAAGGGAGCTGAAGTACGAAGCCCTGATCGGCAAACCCAGCATTGTCACCTACCACTATGCTGAGTATCTGATCAAGCAGCAGGCAGAGAAGCAGGGGTGGGAGTCTCCCATCCGCAGGCTCTATGCTGTTGGGTAAGAGACTATTTTTTTTTTTGCTTGTTTATTTAAAAAAATCAGAAAAACCCTAGAGTCCCTGAAGCACCTCTGGAACTTCCCATTCTAATTGCTGCTCTGATTTTTTTCATTAATTTTAAGGATCACTATTTCCCTGTTTCATGCACATCCATGACAGAAAATGGCATGGTCATCCTGGGAAAGTCATTGCCATCTACATAGTGTGGCTGGATTTTAAATCAGTGTAGCAGCATTAAGCCAGCGTTAGCATTCCAGGCATGTTAGACAAAGCTAATCAAGCTTTGGGTGCATAAAGGGGGACAAAGAAGAACACTTTGCAATTGGCCAGATGCAGCTTGGTGCTCGGGGGTTTCCTCCTTTGACCTACACAGTGGGGATGCTGCATTGGATAGACCACTGGTTTGATTCTGGTAGTTCTGTACAAGCTCCTATACATGTGCACTTTGTGCTAGTACAATCTCAGCCTGTCCACTCCCATACAAAGCATGTAATACCTTCAGTTTCCCTCTCCTCTGATTTGCCTTGCACAGGGATAATCCTATGTCGGACATCTATGGTGCAAATCTCTACAACAGCTACCTCAAAGCTGCACGCCAGACCCAGGCCCAAGCTGGCGTGCGGGGGAGCGTGGTGGCAGCAGGTCCTCAAAAGGACTTCAACCTTGGGAATGATAGTAATGTCTTGATGGAGAGCTGCAAGTCTATTCTGGTCTGCACTGGGGTCTACCGTCATCACAGAGACATGCCTCCTGTTTCAAACATGTGTGTGAGGGACACAGTGTTCCATGGGCACCGGGACTTCTGCTTTGATCCCAGCTTGGTGGAAGCCTCTTATGTGGTGCAGGATGTGAATGAAGCAGTGAAACTTGCTTTGGAGAAGGAGAGCTGGAGTTAGGAGTGAAGCAGGCATGGCAGAAATCTGATCATCAGTTTAGCACCGGAGCAGAAGGGAAAGGGGAAGAAACTGGGAGATCTTCTAGCAGAGCTCAAGAAAGTTTCCAGGTCCCTGTGGGCTTGACGTCAAACATCCCCTTGTGTTGTCAATTATTTTGCAGTCCTAATAGCTGCTAGCAGGGTTCCAAACCCTTGCAGAGCTATATTTAAACTGCTGTTGTTGTTGCAGTGGACTTGACCCTCACGTGGGCAGGGTCCATCTAGCTGGACCGTCCCAGCCCCTGTGTCTGTGGAACTGTAGTTACCTGAACCCTCTTCCTTCTCTTCTATGCATCTAAGGTGAGGACTAGGCAACCCTCATCCATGCCACACATTTTATGGTGAAGTGCTTCCTCCCCTGTGCAGAAGAGCATTGGCTAGTGCATGAGACATACCCTGCTCAGAGGCTTGAGTGGGTCTTTCATGGTGCTTGGTACACACTGCCAGTCCTCTGCTCAGGGCAGAATTTAGCCATTTGTTACCACTGTCCTCAAAATGTGCCTGTGGATGTTAAGTAGCCTTCTTTGTCCAGAGACTTAACACATGCAGCCTTTTATCTGGAAATAGCACAGAGGATTTCAGTGGCCATATGCTGAGTCCCTCATGGAGCTGCAATGTTGTATCATGCCATCCTCAGCTTCATCCTGTGGCTGTCCAGCAACAGAAGCTGTAGCAGGTCTCCTCATAGGAAAACCTGTATAACCACAGTGACTTTGTGCAGTGCCAAGAACGGTGTTATTCCTTCCTTTAATTGTCTGAAAACGCCTTTTCAGCTGGCTGCCAGCCCCAAGGGCCAACAGCCTTGCTTTGTAGCACCACTGGAAGTAGCTTCAGCTTATAAACTGAGAGACAAGGACATTGCATGTCTGCTGTAATGTTAGGCTCTGAAATGGTACCGAGGTTGAGCAAAGACACAGGAATGGATCTTCTGGCTATCTGTCAGAGGGTCGGTGCCCTCCCTGCCCAAGCAGCACTGCTTCTAAAATGGCATCCTTAGGAACTGGGGTCACTACCTCTTCTTCCCCTGCTATGCTGAGGAATAGCAATCGACTGAGAGGGCAATCGATTTCTGCTCTTTTCATTTGGAAGGGTGAGGGTGGAGGCAGTGCAAGGACCATAAAGCCAGAACACCAACCACGCTCAGGAACTGTAGACTGTCCTCATCTTGGTTTCTGGGTCTTTTAACAAAAGAAGTCTTCCTCCTAATTTTCCCCCTACTCCCCTTGTCCATTTGATCCTCAGCAATAACCCTAAATCCAATCCTCTTTCCAAAAGGCTCTCCAGAACAGCCAGCGCTATTTTTGGTTTGGCTGTAGCAGCCAAGAGCTCACTGCCTCAGCAGCCTTCCCAGGTTTTGCAGAACTGGAAAGCTTCAGTTCTTTAGCCCTGGCTGTGATGAGGGGGAGGGGACTGACAGAGGCAGGTATTAAGGTCTCTCTCTCAAAAAAAAAAAAAAAAAGGAATCTAACTGTGAAAATTCCCCCTAGGTGAAACTTAAACAGGAAATGAGAGATATTAGATTAGGCAAAGGATTGCTCTTAGGACTGCAGATCTGCAGTCTACCTCTGGTAAAACCATAAGCCATCCTGGGTCTTGGAACCACCCAAATGACTTGTTGCTAGATTTTGTCACAACACTTCATCATGTGCTAGTCGGGTTACTTCTAGCTCCCAGCAACATGTGCCCAAGAGAAGAAGTGGGCCCTAAGGTCAGATACAGCCTTTGCTGGGCATACAATTTAACTGCAGGGAGGGGGAGTCCACTTTGCTCTCTATTCAAATCCCAGATAAAGACTTCCTGCCTGCACTTTCTTTGACTTCAGGGTATCTGCCTAGGAAGGTTGTATTGGGAACCAGGCTCTTTCCTCTCACTTGACACACTAAGGCCAAGGATTGGGTTCTAGGCACTGGAAGGGGTTTGCATGTTCTGTTAGGTGACAGTTACAAGAAGTCTTTTCTTTCTTGGTAAAGCTTTAACACAAAGCCAAGCTCCAGCTCCTGCTATGCAGTCCTGCGAGAGCTGCAATGTGGAGGAGCTTATCCCTTGCTTTCCCTTGTTCTGGCCCAGGCTTGTTCTTCCTGAAGTCTTAGTGGGACAAGTATCATTTAGGGGTGCTAAGGTAGTATGCAGGAAGTTAGGCTTAGTTCAGAGTTCCCTGGATTGCTTAAGGAACTTGTTATCCTGGTTTTCTCCAGGCTATAGAGACCCATGTCTTGTTCATGAATGAGGAGCTTTGGTGGAATTGGACTTAGCACAAAAGAGCAATATTCTGTTCTATGGGTTGGAGCCAAGTCTTGAATTACTCTTTCCTTTGCATGTGGTGTACCAGCCTAGCACTATAGGGATCTCTCTCCTGTTTCTTCATTTCTATGTCTCAACTTGTCCCTCAGCCCCTATCAAGATGGTTGACATTTCTCTGCAGAGATTGCCAACAAAAGTGGCTAATTTTCACATGAACAGCAGCCTCTGTTCAAATCCTAGATAAGCTCAGGCCACCAAACAGCTGCCTATTGGTGGCAGCTACTGGTCACTCCTTCCACTGGGCATTCTGGGCCAGATTGCAAAGGCAGGTAGAAACTAAGTGTGCAGATAAGTAATCATCTATTAATCTTCCAAAAGCTTTGGTTACATGTTTGGGGCTCTGTTACTGGCAATAGCTGGTAATATGGTTCTATTACTTTGACGCACACATCCTTGTCTCTTGCAGGAAGCGTATTTGGCCCAGTAACTCTGTCAAGCCTGTGGTGCTGTCCAGAGGAAAGTGTATGGTTGGAATACATTAGCTCAAGTTCCAGCATCTGATTGAGTACTTTCTTTGTAGTGGCTTGCATAGAAGGAGATGGGAGAGTTCAGTAGGTAGGAGACAGCATCAGTCTGCATCATAATGCCCTCCTAACACCCTCCCTCAGAGTGAGGAAGTATCTAGGATCTGTATTTAGCAGGGAGTAATCTTGCATGGCAGGAAGTGGCCTGAGCCAGTAGTCCCTTTCCATTCCTAAGTACAATGGAGGAGCTGGTGTGTTAAGCTATGCAAGTCTGCTGCACCTTTGGAATTGTAAAGCCATTCCTCCCTTTCCAATCTACCTGTTTGTCTGGGGAGTAAGGCAAGGAGGGAAGAGACCTTTCAATCCTCAGAGCTGGTATTCCAGTCAAGTTGGGTTGCAGTGCCATGTCATACTAGGCCTGCATGCCTGCCAAGGAGTGCGAAGGAGTTAGAAGGGGAAAAAACATCCCCCCCAAAGAGACACCCAAAAAAACAAACACAAACCACAAAATAAATAATTTTGTTCTCTTAGCACCCACCCCTACATGCACCTTTCCCTGAAAGGATCACACCACTTCTAATCAGTCGTAGCCTGTTGGCTGGGTGACCAGGAGTAGCAGGTGGTAAGAGGCCTTGTCACCTGTCAGCAGGCACATTTACATGTGCCATTAGCACGACAAACTCCAGCACAGTTTATACTGGAGTTTACTGCCCCTGGTCGCTGTGTTTGCACATATGCCTGGAACCGCAGCACATTGAACTAGGCTGGAGCAGCCCTGGTTGGCAGGGTGTCAGGTGTCAGCCTGGAGCTCCTCCAACCCGATTTGACACACTGCGGAGGGGCTGGCTGAGGCACGAGGGTGTTCGAGTGCGGGGCTAGCCAGCAGGCAGCCCCGACACTGAAGCACCCTTGTGCCCCAGCTGGCCCTATCACTGTCTACACATGCATTGCTGTGCACTAAATAACACTGCTGCAGGACAGTACTTAGGTTTACAAGTACTAACCTATGGTAGAGTTAATCAGTTTACTGCAGCCTAATGGCTATATGTGCAGATGCCAAGACTACTGCAGAGCCAGTTAGGCAACTCCACTGTAAATGTCTTGTGTAGATGTGCCTAGCCTCTTATGAATTCCAGGCTTTTTTTTTTTTTTTTTTTTAAAAGGCCTCTCTACTGTAATAAGCAGCAGTTTGCCAGAATCTTGTTCTACCAAAAATAATGGTCCTCTACCAGCTATACGCAAGCACTGGAATGAAGTGAAATCTTTGCACAATTAGCTGCAAGGCAGGGTGGGGATTAGCCACTATCCTCTACTTCTCATGTATCCCTTGGGTGGTGGCCCTTTCCACAGTTTGGATTCTGGTTTGGAGCAAATTTCCTTCATTATGGGTGGTCTGATCACTCAGCAGTAGATGCGACTTTAATTAGTGCTTATAAGTACGGTGCCTCTCAGACAGTAATGCTGTGAAGGTCTGATCCTGACATCTGCACCAATCTATTGGCTTTGAGAGATTTTAGATCAGCCTCAAAGCAAGTCAAGCAGGCAGAACTCGAATCTTGTAAGCGAGGCAGAGCTCTCCTTTCACACAGTAAGGGACAGGAGAGCAGACAAGGTGGGGTGGTTGTCCCTGAAGCAGTGTGGGGCATGCAGGAGTGTTCCTCTTCAACTGCCACCTCTTCCTAGGCATAGCGAGTCAAGAAGACTAGCTGTGCAGGGGGGCATGTAACCGCAGTAAACCCACTTCCAGCACTAATGCTGGAGTTTCTCTTTCCCCAACGTACAGGAGGCCCTTTTACATTGTATGTCATGTTTTGTAACAGATCAAGCTGATATCAGTTTGGGATATGACAAAGTTTAGCATTTGTATTCAACTTAACCCAATTCCAGAGCTGTTCTTCAGACCAAGCATATTTGTCCAAGAATATAAAATCTTTTTTTGTGGAAATAAAATTTAACGTGTACAAGTTTCATGATTTTCACCCTGGACTCTTTAGCAGCCTTTGACTTCTGTCTGGCCCTGCTTTTTTCAGAGACCTTAAATGTTAACAAGTTAAACATGCTGTGCTTTTTTATCCAAAAACCTTAAGAAACTCAGAGCTGGCCTGAAGGATGTGCTTGGCTTGGAACATAGTGTCCATAAATGAAGGAGGTAGATAAGTCGAAGAGGGTCCAAAAAAGAGCCATAATTAGAGGATTAGAAAGACATGCCTCATTGTGAAAGACTCAGTCCATTTGCCTTATCAAAGAGGAAGTGGTGGGGTGGGACAGGGGAAGAGAGAGAGACTGGTTTGGGCTATAAGTATTGATATAGGAAACAAACTTGGTAAGTTGAGCTCTTCAATGTAGCAAAGAGCTAACAAGAATCAACAGCTAGAAGTTAAGGACAAGACTAATTCAGACTAGAAATAAGACAGAAAAAGAAGGATAATTAACCAATGGAATAGTTTAAAGGATCATGGAGTATTCACAGTCACTGGAAGTTTGTTAGGACTGGATATTCTAAGGAACATACTCTAATTTAAGCACACTTATTGATTTCTGCTGCCAGTTCAATACAAGGAAGTCCTGTGGCTCATCTTAGGAGTAGTCAGATGAGTGATTTACTATCATCCCAGTGCCTTGGAATGGAGTGTTCTACCTAGTCTGTCAGAAAGATTAGTTTAAGTGCAAGGTTTATCTTTTCCTGCCTGCCCCTATAATTGTTGCAATTTGCTATTGTGGAAGATGGTGGTGGTCTGTAGCAGCTATGCTTGAAATGACTAATTGGGGGTGGAACCAGATGCCTGACAAGACTATAAATAGGACATCGTGTGTAGGCGCAAGAAGAATCTGCTTCTGGGCATGCCTGTCAAAACCCCTACGTTAGTGTTCCTATGCTTATATTGCCTATGGGGTTCAGTTTGGTAGGTGTGTGGAGAACACCCAATTGAAGGTGGAAGGAATTGCTCCTCCTTTTGGAGAAAAGTTCAGCACCTGTCCAAGAGATCAACACCAAGATTTAATTCTTTTGTTGGATCAGGGAGTCTGCAACCCACAGCTCTCAGGAAGGGTTGGAGGTGTGAACCCTAAATGGAAAAGCAGCCCTCAGGCAATTCACAGCTTAAGTGTCTGACTCTCTGAAAGAGCAGGGCTTAAGACGCATGCCTTCCCTCAGCCCTTTGTTCCTAGGCAGCTCCCTTCTCAGCTTGCTGGCTTTTCGGGATCTCTTAGGTGCTCAGCTCTTCCCCCACATTTTATAGGGAACCTAGTCTCCCTGCTCAGGGCTGCTGATTTTGCTGTGGTAGCAAAACAAATGCTGAATACTCCTAGTGACTGCTGGCAAAAGACATCCCACAAACTCATACATGTGTTTGTGAAGCTTGAATTCCCCTCTCATCCCATCCCTAAGACTAGGGGGCCAAGGCTGAGGCACACCGGCAGGGCTGTGAAGAAGCAATGGTT